ACTATGAAAAACCAATGCCAATGATGATCATGACATCTGGCACTGGACTGGCGACCCCGTGTCCTCAATATCTCAAACAATATAGCTTTATCAATGTGTTGTGTTCGTAGTATTTAGCCTTTTGAGCCAACGCCAAGCTTATAAACAATGCATTTTGTTGTGACTGTTGTACGTCTTACTGATTTGTTTATGTCTTCTCAGTTTTATTTGCTACGTGTATCCTATATCAGTGTTGAGCATGAAAACCATCTCGATCTACAGCCCCGAGCTTCGAATATTACAAATAATTTTATTTTTATTTTGTGTTTTTGGCGTTCAGATCTCTGAGAGCGTCGTCAGTCTGTATGAGAATGTATTTTATTGTCATGTTTTCACTTGTTGCTGATTCGTTTCTGACCGCTTTTGTTTACTGCGTTTTTTAATATATATACAGTATCAGTAGGGCTTGTAATTTCAAATTTAGTATTCGAATCGAATGATAAATTATTCAAAGAAGTTCAGGATAATTCCAAATTGTCGCCAACTTGTATCAATTTAAATTCCTCACTCTTTTTGCAAAGCCATATTTTTTAAATGCAAATATGACATATATGTCTTCTTTTTTTAGTGAGCTTTTGATGAAATATGGTTCTTATTGTGTGGGAATTATTTGAGTGATAAATTCAATATTTTCATTATTTTATGTGTCTGAAGGACCCATCACAATAAAAAAGTCACACATACAATTGGACATCTTACGTTCCAAGTTTTCGAGATTCGATTCGAAAAAAATATTCGATTCGATGATGAAATCATCAGGTATTCGGAAATGCCCAGCTTTAGGTATCAGTGTTGAGCATTACAGCCCTTTCAATCTGCGGTCCCGAGCTTACAATATCAAAAGTATATGGCTTATTTTGCCTGATATGCTTTAAGCTTTCGATCCAACCATCGAACATCACCAATGTACTTTATCGTGATTGTTTTGCGTCTTGCTGATTTATTTTGAGCGCACAGTTGTGTTTATTGCGTTTTTGATGCATTGTCTTCGTATCTTATTGGTCTTGTTTTGGTCCTGTAAACTTTCATTTTCTCGTTAATGTTTTGGCCTCACCTCGAACAAATTTACCAAAAATCTTACAGTGGAAAATTTCCATGTTGCCCTGGAGGTTTTAAAACGCGATAAGATCTGGTTACAAATATCGAATAATACCTTATGGTTAGTATATGATAGCTGTGGTATTCCAATAACGCAATTCCTTTGTCTCGACTTGACTTGATAAATAAACAATACTATGTAAAAAATCCAGTAAGTATCACTATATTTTTTCTAGGTCGAATTTTTCTATGCTGAAGTACTAGACTTTCTACAGGTCTTGAGTAAGGCTGGACATTTCCGAATACCTGATGATTTCAAAATCGAATCAAATATTTTTTTGAATCTGACCTATTTTATTGCAATGTTTCCTCCAGACACATAAATCACTTAAACATAGAATCCATCACCCAGTTAGTTCAAATAAAACGAGTTTCTGCTGATCTTTGGTGAAACAATTTTATTCCTTGGAATTAGATTGTTCATGTGTACGTTAAGACAGGAATGTAATGATTAGTTGTTGATCAAATGAAAAACAAATTTATTGATTGATTGATCAATAATTTATAAAACATATAAGCAAAGCAATTCCGACATTTTGAATCTCTATACCAGTGGTTCTTAAACTTTTTCGAGCGCGACCCAAATCTGAGTTTTATGAATACTCGCGACCCAATCCTAAAAAACGCAAAATGTGTTTTTAATGTTGGTACAGTTTGACTCAAATACAGACAACTATTTATTAGAAACAGTCCATTGACTCAGTGAGATTGATGAAACTGAAATTTAATTTTCATTATATCTTCAATACACAGCTCTATTTTACTTAACGCAATACGCAAGTTGTCACGGGTATCGAAGCGATTGCGAGCTTAGTTTTGATAACCGTCAGTGCCAAATATCCTCGCTCGCACAAGTGCCTTGTCGCGAGTTGTAGCAGAAAAAGCGTCCGCTGTCCGTCGCAAACACGACATCCTAGCTGGCCTTCGGTATCTCTCGCAATATAAAACTTTTTACTCGTCACATGTGCACGCACTGCTTCCTTCGCGGTAAATGGTGCCTCGAGATGAAGTCACATTTTCTCTAGATATTGAATAATCTAATGTCGAGAAGCGAGCTTTTTCATTGCGTCGTCTATTACAATTTTCATTACCAAAAAGACACCCATTTTTGGTTATTTTAATCCACTAAGACGACATTCCATGAGGTCAACACAACGACAAGCGACGTGCATGGTTACCGATACCATAAAAATAATACACGTGACTGGCTTATCAGAATTGTGATGTAACAATGAGCTCAAGACAGTTCTTTCCGTGACTGAAATTTTATATTTCATTTTTTTTAAATACCAGAGTTTAGAAGCTAAATTGAAACATTGGGAAAGCTGAAAATTCGTCCTTATCCTCTTAGATTGCCCTTGCATTGACGACCTTGTCGCGACCCATTTTTAAATCTTCCGCGACCCATGTTTGGGTCGCGACCCATACTTTAAGAACCACTGCTCTATACATAGGCTTACCATAGATATGGAACCGGGACAGTGTGGATCGAGCAAACCCTGGTTCGATTCCGAAGCTCATTAATATACAACTCCTATGAATATTAGTAATATTAAAATCATCGAAAAACGCTCTTTTAGGCATTTTGAATAATTTAACGGCAGTACAACTGTCGTAAATGCAAGTAAAGTTTCTACAAATAATAACAGATTCAACGAAAACTATTATACTCGAAAGGTCCCCACTTTGGAAACTAATGGTCTGAACGAATGAATATATAGCATCAATCTAAAGAGATTTACTCAGTTCAGTAGAATTCGCAAATCTCGCGGCCTCTATTTCAGTTTAAAACAAATACGTTTACTCCCGTAGTATGTGTACCAGGTTAGGGTTGGGCCATAATTTTATTCCGATTTTCCTAACTTTAGTTCGATTACGAGTTCGGGAACCGTCTGTGTTAGCCAAGTGAATATACCTCCTGCCCATAGGCTTCCGTCCATTTACACAACTTGATTTAAAGTAGGCAAACAAAATAAGTTACCTCCATATTGATACACACACTTGAAGCGCTGTTTGTTTTATTTTCGTTCTTCTTAAATTTCTCTTTCGTCATTGATAAAATAGAAAATACGACGTTTCACACAGTTGTCTTCGGACTCGAGAAGCGAAAAGCGATTTTATCATTTTAAACAGCGTGAAATCATATTATCACTTATTTGCGCAAACTTCCTACGTCGTCAATAGTTCAATATACAAATTACAGCGACGCCTCAGTATGTCACGATTTTACCACTAAATGGAAGAAAATTATAGCTTTTTTAAGGATTGAAACTCATTTTGGGGTCTTTTGGTCAAAATAAGCAATTCAAATGAAATTAATACCAATTGAAAATACGAAACTCCGTTATCAGATTTCAGAAGGGAAAACAACACAGTGAGTTTATTATTAGGAAGTTAAATTTACATGGAACTTGAGAAAAATAAGTCTGGTGCATTCAAAGAAAATTGGTTTGATTTTTCACTGGATTTTGGGGGTTATTTTAGGATTTTTATTTGCACTTGTAAAGCATTAATGAATGAATGATTTGAACTGATAAAGTTTCTGTTGATGATAAACTTATTTAAAAACTTTGTAACGAAGAAAATTCGAAAATCGGAATAATTTAAAAAGGATTCAATGTTTAAATTCTTTTCATAATGATGTGTCTAAACCAGCGTTCCTCATATTGTTTTGCCCACGTCAGCGTACCTCGGAACACCTACACTTATTATCGCGCCTCGCGGAACCCCAAGAAATTAGAAAGTGAAAATATTAAAAGAAAATTGTGTAACGGATTTACTTTATGCACCAACTTGCAAAACCGGCTTATCACGGAATCCTTTGGGGCTCCAGTTTTAAGCTAACAATCCATTGAAGAGGCTGATTTTCAAAAACATTTACCATATGGTAAAAATTTAAGTCGCAATTTTTATTTCTGTCACGCGGAACACTAAAAAAGCTCGCGGAACACCATAAAGAAGCTCGCGGGACACAGTTTGAAAAACGCTGGTCAAAACTAATAAGTTGTCAGGAAATTGCATTTTGAATATTCCAAACATCTTGGGACTTCTTCACCTCTATTTGATAATCATACTAATATTTTATGTCAAATTATTCTAACGGTCAAAAAAATAGTCCAAACACATTTTATTAGATTAACTTTTATGATAAAGTAAGTCAGTCCACTGTTTCCACTTACAAAAGTTTTATTAGAAAGATATAACCGCCAAAAATATGAGTCAAAGGACGTCTGACTGACATTGATAAATAATATTTAAAGATGTTTTCTGCGATTTTTACTAAAACTACCGTCATAATGCTTTCATTGTTTTATCACTATTATTAATCGACGGATCTTATTGTTTGAAAACAAAGACTGACAACTTAATCGCATTCATGAGGATAATCGGTATTGTTTTGTCATAACGTCAATCGTTAAATATGATTCATTCTAACAGATTCGGACAGCGTCTGTTTTTGTCATTTTCATGAATATTCGCTTTTCTTTTATTCTATATCTGTTATTCAGAAGCTATTGCTCTAATCGAACAGCGCGAAAATTTGTATACTTCTTTTATTTATATATATACAGTATAAGGAGTACTGCCGTGTAGTGTGTGTGCCAGGTTAGGCCATAATTTTATTCCTATTTTCTTTATTTTGGTTCTTTTACGAGTTTGGGGACTGTCTGTGGTAGCCAAGTGTATATACACAAATTTATGTAAAGTAGGCGAACAAAATTAGTTACCTCCATATTGGTACACACACTTCTTTAACGCCCAAAAAAATTATAATATTTGGTAAAATCACTACTAAGCCGGATGTTGGGCCGGATTCAAAAGCATCCATCTCCAACACTTTTATTGGTTTGTTTTATTTTCAGAATGCCGAATGAGTTACATCAAGTTCGAGGGAATGTATTTGCGCGGAGTGAAAGAACCCAATCATATAGATTACAATGCAACAACGTTTGAAGCATGCGAGAAGCGATGTTGTTATGAGACAGGGTAAGTAGAAGAATGGACTTTGTTCATTGGTTGAGAACCGGTTTTAAAACGCCCCCTTTATAAAATTTGTCAAGTCTCGCGTCTAACAATCTAACAATAAACTATAAATAACATATAGTATGGTTTATTCAATCGCAATCTTTACAATAAAGAAATGCAAATATTCAGAATAAAGCGTGCAAGATCAAATCTAACATAATTTTTAATTGGCTTCACGCCCTTTCGAAAAGTTGTCTACGCCCATATAGTTTTGCGTTTCCGACATTCTAAAATTCATTCGTCGTTGAATGATTAACAAAACGTTGTGAGTAAATGGGTCGGGATATGTCCCATGCAACCGCGTGGGAAATTCGAAGTTGATTGAAAAAACAAGCATATCGTAACGTTCAATAATGTGCTTGTGTGAGAGTGTCCCTGTAGAAATTGGAAATTTTTACTTTTATAAACTTAGAATAAAAATAGCGTTTTATGACTATCTGCGTTATTGACATTCCAAATTCATAGCGTCGTGAAGTAGATGGGTCGGAATATGCCCAATGCAAATATGTGAGTGATTCGAAGTTGGGTATTAAACAAAAACATATTGGAACATTGAATCAGATGCGTATGTACTCATATGAGGATGTTTTTGAAAAGGCGGGAAATTTCTAATTTTCTATAAAAGAGCGATTTAGCTGTCTAAAACTATGGGTCATCATCAGAGCCGGGCAGTTCTTTTCTTTGCCGTCATATTTAGGTATATTAATTGTAATATGGCTGGGAAACTTTTAGTTCACTGTATTTTTATTCACAGTACGTCGTCGCGTACGAATACTATGTAAAGAGGCCAACTTTGATAACCAAGGTTCCCTCTAAGGTTCGCAATTGCGCAGTACCACCAAACCATTTGCGGAGTAAAATCTCATTTTCGTGCACTCGCAACATTACGTTTGCAATGCGTGGCCCGTCATATATATTTTCCAACGCAGCTAGAATGCCAGTTCCATGTTTTAACGTGTATCTCGGTTGTTACTGTTTATTGTGATGTTATAGGCCTACACATGTATGTTACGTCCAAGTATCTTGATTTCTCTGGAATCGCAGGGAGTGGGCTGTTTTGAGCCAAGCCTATATTGTCACCGCGTGCCAGCAATAAACATGGACAAAGTGTATAAACATTAGAAAAACACGAAACAAGGACATGCTATTTGAGTTAAATGTGCACGTACTTTGTCCGCGTTACAAAATATATTATACTATTGTAATGTTTCACAAAGTTTGTTAATCATTTAAAACTCTTGGCAGCCTCAAAATATTCTTACTCACTCACAAGCATTTGCGTGATGTAAAATTCTTAGAGAGAACATTGGTGATAACATAGAACAAGTAGGTCGAAAGTACAAATAAACCATATTGACAGTCTTAAACCATATTTTTACTTTTCCAGCTTCAAATGCCGATCGTTCAGCTATTTCGAGCCAACGCACCAATGCTTTCTTATGAACGTTACTCGTTACTACACCAAATACGATCTGGTTTCATCGAAGTCGCACGTCCACGTTGAAGTTGTCAAAGAACTAAGTGAGTGTGTATTTGTGTTGGGTGGTAATGCAAAATATATATACAAGGTGGTCACTGGTAAAACATTTGTCAAACAGTTATTTATTTTTACAAAGAATAACTTTTACGAAGTGTTTAAAAGGCATATGTTATATTACACAGAATATTACAGAAATCAAATAGAACCTGAAAAGTATCAACCTAGGACCTTAAAGAAAATAAAAACGTATCGAATAAGAAACGAGAATATCGGTCAGAGACCGAAGACTTATCGATCGAAAGTTAGGGGATCCCCAAAACAGCGCTCTTACTCTATAGTGACACCTTGTGCCATCACGAATTAATTAATAACTCGCTAATTATACGACATATTTTGCCCAAAATCAATAGGCTTCTGGTCCGAAATAAGATAAATGCACATGCATAATCTGGAGCAGATTCAATCTCGCTTTCGTGAGATATCGCGTGCATCTGACAAACAAACAGACAGACAGACAAATATCTATCAACATACTTACCAATTAAAATCGATAAGTAATGAGTAAACACGCATTTTATTCGTGATCTCGTCTAACCTTTGAACTTTCTGCTTTTCTAGCGACCACTCTGTATATTCATAGCAGTGTTGGGCAGGGTTGAGTCATATAAAATTTAATGAATTGAAATCAATTCCATCTTTGAACTCCCAATAAAACCAAACTTCAAAGTTATGGTATTCTAGCATTGTTTAATTATTATTTGTTGCTTGGTGGACTGAATACTTTTTGGGCGTCTATGAAGTTATGTTAGTAAGATAATGTGCAAAAAGCATACGATATATAACCATAAATAACAGTGGTTCTGGAACTAAATTTCCAGATCTTTTTGATTAAATATTAGAACCTTGGGTGGCGCTGCTCCATAACAAGCTTTTGTTCACTTCTCAATAAATAGATTTATTCATCTTTCTTCCACATATTATGTTTGTGACTGTTTTTTTACTGATTGGGAAAAATAAACTTGGCTTGAGAAGCAGATTTTCCGTATCCCAGTACGGAAAACGGCTGTAAAACGTCTCATTTAACACCCCGCCATTCTAATTATGTTTGGAGTAAATATATTCCCGCGTGCGGTTTTTGATCTCAATGACGGCAATATATTTGGAAATTATAAATTATTAAGAAAGAAAACATGTCAGTTTTGATGGAAAAACAACTTCCTCGCTTTCGCGCTGTTGTCGTTTTTCTTAATGTGGAAGTTCGGTTTTAATCACAATTTTAACCTAACTCGCTGTTTACTACGTTTATTATCAATTCTTAAAGAAGCAGACTTATTTTATTTCCCATAAACTAGTCTTGAATACTCCATTCTTTAATGATATGTTCTACTCTACGAAAATTACGCTTTTTATGCGAAAAAATTGCTCCATAAGTACTAGCTGTCCAATTTTAACATAAAGAAAAAATAAGCTATCGATTACCGCTAAAATTTACAATGTCAGAAAACTGTAACTATTTAGTATCAGACTCTAGCTTTGACTTGTTTTCACTCTCATTTTTGCTTGCTTTTGCGTTTCTGTATGTTGCATGATTAATGAAATAATATAGTATTTCATAATTTCGTTATAATGCATGATGAGTATATTAGAAGGTATCGCTAATTTATAAATGTGTTAAACACAATAGTTACAAACTTGTTGATGTATTTATCTCGTTTCCTGGAATCTTTGATAAAAAAAATTAGATGCAGTCATTAGCGTGTCAGTAGTTGATTTCAACTGTGCTAGCTTGAATGTAAAAAGATACAAAAAATTAAAACAAACCGATTCGAATATTATTTAATTGTCATATCAAATAGACAAGATACTTGTAATTACAGCTCGGCTTAAAATTTGCTGACTATAACGTGCTATTTGTCGAAAACACACTGAGATTAAAATGCTAATCTGTTTCACTACTAGCACATATGGGGGAAAGAAGACTTAGAGTTTGGCGCTCCAAGGCCCAAAGTACAATTACAATGGTTACAATTTTGTTATGTCTAATTTTCCTTGTTGCTTTAGGCCTAGGCTCACCATACGTCCCGGTTTAGCCGGGACAGTCCCGATTTTACAATGTTTTTCTGCCGTCCCAGAGATAGACTTAAATGTCCCGGTTTTGCAGTATGACATTCATAAATCATTTTCCTATTTGATACTATTACAAAATTGTCTTTTAACGGAGACAGTCGATCCACCACTGATTTGCGTCTCATTTCACTAGTTCAGATAGAGAGAAAAATTGTTATGTAATAGTTATGATATTAAGTATATGAACCATGCGTTAATTTAACACCCAACTGTACTGGCGTTGACTCACCAAAATGTCGGAAACAAAGTGCAACTTTTCTAATGAGTTGAACAATTTCCATTATTTGAAGCAAATAACTATAGAGGATATTATATTTTAATAAGATTTACAGCTAATTTTGATGCCCGTAATCTACCCACGATGGTATGGAACACGTTTAAAACTATTATTACTAAGCAACTGGAAGGTTGACTTGTCCAATCCGTGTCGTCCCGGTTTTTTGCTTCAGAAATATGGTAAGCCTATTAGGCCTCCCCCTCGAAATTCTTGCTACAACACTTTGCCTCGTATCAATTCTGTTCGTCAACATTGCATAATGACTAAATTCAATTGGCAACATTTAAGACAGTCTGAGATATATTTAGCACAAATAACTCATTGCTTGAGTTGCATGAAGCATGGCTAATTACTAACATTATAAGCATCTTCAAGCTAGAGGTCTAAGGTTCGAATCCCGCGTATGACAATTCTCGACAACCTGCACAGGTACGACAACCACAACAACAGTAGCGTTCCCTACCCCAGCTCGAACACCAAAGCGACCCGAGTCGTCCTCATCAACAACCACCGTTTCTACAATGGATCCCAATTTCGGGGTGATGGGCCCAGACAAAGGAATTCTAGAGAGTAAGTATTGATTATTGTAACTATCGGCTGTTTTCATACCTATCATGGCGAGAAGAAAGTTTGAAGGCTGTACAACAGGGTAAATTTACCAAATAAATTTTACTTTTTTGAAGAAGTGAATGTGAGAACAATGATTGAAAACCCGTGATGTAAACTTTTTAAGCACGTTCTGTTGTTATTAATCGATCTAGGCTTGGTTACAAGCAGTGATACATCTCTCGAATAGAATATAGATTTATTTCCTCATTGCATCTCAAATAATTCCATTTGAATATTTTCGGCGCCATCTAAGTTTTAGTTACTAGCCCTGTCAGGTTTTGCAATTAGATAGTATTTCATATTTATTCTGAGGAACAGTACGACTGATAAGCCGAATTATTCGTACACTGTATATCCGGTCAAAACCCTGGATGAGATAAAAAAAAAAGCTAAACCGTTAATCGTTCTGTCAATATTAGTAAAAAACCAGTTGTAATACAGTTTAATTCACTTACTCAACTAGTAATCCTTACTAAATCTTGATTAAACTTAGGTTATTACTCACGGAATTCAGCCGTCTGACAGTTCATTTCTAACTTGTACGCCATTTCGTTGTATTCTCGTCTCTATGGTGAAAATATAGTTAGAGTCAACCAATACGATTGTGAAATCCTAACGATACAAATTTATACAAGTAAAAATGCGTAGCACTTCCGTGTATGCTATCTTGTGCAGGCTACCGTTACACCCTGGGCTAATCAACGACTGTCAGTGTTTATGATGCCATTGTGCATTGTTATAACATAATATTATTATGTTATGCATTGATATGACAGTGTGTAATAAGTGGTCAACTGTGTCGTAATAATACGGCGTTGTATAGTCGTTGTATGTATTCGGATTGCGCTATAGGATGTTGTTTGCAAATGCAACTAAGCTTTAATTTGTTGAAACCAAGAAAAGTTTTTTTAAATGTTTATTTGTAACTATTTTACAGCAATTCCGCCACCGGACCGCGTGGTCGCCCCAGAATGCCCAAAAAGATGTCTGAATGGTGGAGGATGTTTACTGAGACGAACGAATAAAGGCGTTGCTGCAAGAGAAGCGTATTGTAAATGTCAAAAGGGATACACTGGTGACCAATGCGAGATGGAGGTTTCTGAAGCTGGTAAGTGAATATCTCAAACTTTGAAAATTCAAATTATGAAGTCAGAATCCGATCTTTTCCACTAAGAAGTTTTAGATTTACTGAAAAACGCCTTGCTGACAGAATAAGGTATTTGAAGCTCTGGAAATGGATTTTATACGGATGACACAATAATTTCATATATTAATAGAGAACAGTTACTATTTGAAATTTTGAGTAATTATTCCGATTTTCAGCATCCAGATTGCTCTTCTCAATTTACCTTCGTCTATTGACCCCCTCCTTCCCCTTTTGTTATGAATATCGAAATGCCAGTCTGTTATTCGGTTATAAATATTTTTGTCCAAAAAGTAGCATCATCAAAGCTTCTCGTTATTTTATACCTTTAGCTAATCTCCGCAGAATATCCGCGTCATTTCTGGTATTAATTATCCAATCACTCCAGTATTTCATGAGACGCATTGTATAAATAGCGTATACTTACTTAATGCATTGAATTCGATTTCATTATAATTATCGATTTCTTTTTCAGGTTTTTATTTTCCTATGACATTAATTTATATTAATATAAATATCATCAACCGGTCCGATTTATCACTTAACACTAATCCTATAACCCTAATGACTCCGTACTAAGATAATCAGTCCACATCACTCCAACCAACAAATCTAACATTTGAAATAAAAGTGTTGAATACCTTCTAGTAATAAAGTCATGCACTCTAGTAATGTGAAAGGTTTTGGGTAACAAGAAAAATCTGTTGAAATTGTATCAGTCAATCGTTCTAGCAATGATGCTATGGGCTCTATTTATGGCGGAACGTATTCAAATAATGATGTCATCGATATAAAAATTGACTTCACACACATAACAACGGCATCACAGTCTTTAGCAATGACGTCACACATGCATAAATTACGTCATCGTCTTTATTAATGACGCCGCACACTTCAAACAATGGCGTCCTATGCTTCAGTAATGAGGTCACACACTGGAACAATGGTTTCTGTAATGACGTCACACAATGAATTAATGACGTCATATGATGTAGTATTGGTGCCTTCACCATGCGGCGTCATAATAATTGTCTTTATGATGTCACAGGTGGATTTCCGATGTGGGTGATTGCACTCATTGTTCTTGGCGGAATCATACTTATCCTATTCCTGACTGTTTGTATCATGTATCATGTGTACCGGAAGAAAACAGGAGAATACAAAGTTGTGAAAGCGATTCAAAGATGGACGCGAAGAGGACGTGGAAGAAAGAAGCTGGTAAGTACCGGACCGGGCAGTAGGATCCATAGTTTGTATGCTATAATGTAACAATTGTAATTTGTTTCTGAGTCGTTTAAGGGTTTAACACAACAATTTACAACCAATATGTTGTATGTAACTTTGTTCGACAGAGCCCCAAGAGCTCTAACTACAAAAGAAGGACGTAAACCATGAATCGAAACTACAAAAAATTTGAACTATGTGCTGTATATGTGCATGAATCCGTCTTGCTCATTGCATACGGCTATAGCTAACTTATAATCTTTTCGGTGTTTTAATACTATCTTGGAATATTTTATGTTGCTCTTCCAGGCCCGGGCAGCACCGACACCAGAAGATGATTACGGCCACATTGAGGAAAACAATCATCTTCCAACCCAACACCTTCACCCTCAACACCTTCACCCACATCTTCACCATCACACATCTCCCACCACCAGTGTTCAGAGTATCCACGGTTCCGTGACGTCATCTACAACTCATTCTACAACCACTTCTGTGTGATAGTGACGTCACCGATGACGTCATGGCTAGGAATCCTATAAAAGTTCCAAAGACGAATACTGCTCGGTTATGATGTCGATGCGCAAAGACAATGTCTACTATTTGTTCCATTTCTAACCATTTTCGTGCCTGAAGCGCTTTGTTTCGTCACAACAAAGATACTTTTATTGCGTCATATCAAACATTACACAAATTTCCCTGCTTTTAGATCATGGATATTATGCTTATATTACTCTCGGGCACATCAACAATAGAAAAGTGTCATGAGTGTGATGTCATAATCGCAAATCCGCTAAAATTGAACTAGCCCAACGATTGTTAAGTCACAATTTCATATATAAAATCAGGGTTGTTCTAGTATCTATCTTACATTATTCAATCCATGGCTACAATCCTTACATATTCCACTGTGAATTGTAAATAATTGTGACGTCATAATATTTTCCCGCCAAAATGATTTGAATAGTTTGAGTGCAACCGTCATGGTATTTGCTTCTTCTAGCTTTTCGCGCTGTTTAGTGAAATTTTTATAGTAAATCTGTCTATAATCAGTGAGCTACCCTTCTAGTAAATCATTTATTTGTCAACACAATGTATACGCATCATCACATAAAGCATAACAAAAAATCAAAAATCTAAAACTTAACTTACTCAAGTTAGGTTGTCTCAAAAATGCTGCTGATTTTAGCCCCATCATGTAGATTGAACCCGCGGATATACGGGTGCAAATGTATGGGTTCAAATGTACGGTCGACGTCTACTACCCCATTTTTCGTTTGTGAGAACTACTACCATGAATCCCATTCCACATTTTATCCTTAAATTAAGTGACAGGAGTTACGGGGGATCTTGAAAGGTTCGACTTCTGTTAATGTGTTTGCACAGTAAAAATATTTTACCTCACAAATGAAGTTAACTTGATTCGCTTTGTTTTAACAAACTCGCAATAAGACCTAGCTAGTATCGCTGATGCAGGACACGGACTTTTAGGACTAGGCCGGAGGGTTTCGGACATAAGGTTTTAGGACCACGGGCAAAAAATTTCGCCCACTTAAACTGACAGGTCATGTAAGTGTGACGTGAAAAGTTACATTTTATGAACAATATCGCAATCGTAATAAATTCCTTCAGCTATTTTTACCTAAAACGTCAAAATTAGTTTAGTTCGTCTGAGACAGCATCAGGCGGGCCGAATTGGATTACCCAAAGGGTCGGAATTGGCCCGCGGGCCATAGTTTGCCCATGTCAGGACTAATCGTTCCGAGGCAGACTCGAGTGCGTATGCATGTTTATCAACGACGCGCTTAAGAGACCGATATCAGTATTTAAAACCCTAGAGCGTTAATCTATAAATACAGAAATAATTAATCATGTTGTTAGAATGTGATAAAACAGTGTCTGTAACCCTAAACGCATACACATATACAATAGCAGTATTAACACTTTCATTTGGGTAGAGAAATATTGAAATTTGGGCGCTCCAGAAGTATGTGCACCAATATGGAGGTAACTCAATTTGTTCGTCTATTGTACATCAAGTTGTGTGAAGAGACCGAAGTCTATGGGCAGGGGGATATTCACTTGGCTAGCACAGACGGTCCCCAAACCCGTAATAGAACTGAAATAAGGAAATTGGAATAAAAACATGGCCTAACCTGGTACACATACTTCGGGAGTACCAAAATATGAGCATGACAGTGCCATGAACGAAATGGAACTTGTCTATCATTTATTCATTCCGTTACTTTTTCTGTATGTAATATAAGATTTATTGTCTATTATGAATTTGTGTTTCATTGATTTTTTTGTTTTTTCTATTTTATTTTGCTATCATGATATTGTTTACTTTATAGCTAGGATTTGAATTAATTTTCAGTGTTTTGGCGCCAATTTGTGCCATTTTAGAATATTTTCATTGTTTTATTGCTTAGCTTTGTTATATCATAATTTGAAACAATTGTTGTAAAATTATTCTCATTGTCACGTCATATAAAGTGTTTTTGATTTTATATTATGACAAAATACTGGGTGTAAATATATTTTTCATTGCTTTCTATTAATCATCATTGTAACGAATAAAACTAAACATTTATTTAAAAATGATTTCGTTACAAAAAACGAAAAGAAGAAGAAAAGCTTGAATGCGCGATATATTTTGATATATAAAGTTAGTTTTATTCGAAGCTGAAGTCGGAATGGAAATTTCAGACCTATTTACACTGGGGATAATAGAGGCAAGAATTTCGCTACTCGGGATTTAGGGACAATAGACAATAAATTCATTTCGTCGTGCAAGAAATCAGAACACCAATTATTTTACCTTACATTACCGGATTTCATCGCAATTGACAGAAAGTTGCGAAGGACCAGAAATGATCATCATGAGTCTGCGACACCAAGATTTAAAAAAGGGCAAAATTGAAAGAAAAATAGGCAAGAGACACAATTAGGAAGAGGCTTCTACCTAGGTTCAACATACGTCCCGGTTTAGCAGGGACAGTCCACAGTTTGACACGTCCGATAGGCTTGAATGTTCCGGTCATGTCGTAGGGCAATAGAAAATTTGTTTTTTATTTTATATTAATACAATATTTTTTACCGGAGCCAGTCCATTTATCAGTGATTTGTGACGCTTCGCACTTGTTCAGTGAGAAAAAGAGAGAGAACTACTATATTGTTATGTCATAATTGTTATATGCTAACACCTGAGGTTAGCTGAACTGCCGTTAAATTTTTCAAAATGCCGAAAAGATAGTGCACGTTTTTCGATGATTTGAATATTGCTCGTATTAATATGGGTCCCCTCTAACCACCCCAACTCATCCCCGCCCCCGGCTGCTCCTATGACCCAGTGATTGACTTGACTTGAGACTGGGGTGGCCCGTGATAGACTCGCGGCTGGTGGGTGATTTAGGTACTCGATAACTTTCCAATAAACTAACTGCACGCTAATCTTTAACGAGATTTTTAATCGTGTCCGGTATCTCAATTACAATAGATGTGTAAGTTACGTTGCTACGTGGTGCGAGCTGGTTTCATATCTTCATGTATAAAATACAACAGCAAAGAAAAGTGACGCGAAGCACGACTTTTTAGAATAGCCATCAAAATTATTATCACAATTTAATGAACCGAGGTCGGTATTAAATCAGGAGTCAAGCGTTATTCTCTCGTCAATTTTTGGCAGACTTCAAACGTAATGTAAGTAAGAGCGAGAAACACGGAGCGATTCTTTATAGGAAAGTATTTCAATTTGGTGAGGCAGCATTTGATTAGTCTAGATTTATACTAAAAGAGTAGAATATACTCTCCTCAAATGTGTGGTACCGCATATGCGGATTTACCATTAGTTAAGAACCTCTGTATTAGTTGCGGAAGGTGGAGAATAGAAGAAAGTGCACAAATAAAAGTTGGACCGTGGTACACGCGTTGTGCTGTCATAGCTGCATCACATAAATCGGGGGTCGTCAACCTTTTATTGCTCGAATAGAACAGAATATAATTTTTTTTTCCTCATTGCATTGCATCTCAAAAAATTTCATTTGAATATTGTCGGCGTCATTGAACCCTTTGCACTTAGCATCAACTTTTCTGCATTTTGTTGCCATTTGTCTAATTGTAATTAAATTATAGGCTCATTAAACGAGTAATTGTGAATTCCATACTTAGACTACGATATAATATAGTCTACCCGTGTCTCGCAATGAATTATGTAATGTAAAGAATTTAATCGTCAAAACAGCTGTTTTTTTACTATAATTCAGTGAAGCGTCGCGGGTGTAGGTTGCCAACCCCTGACATAAATCATAAAGGAAGCCCTAACTACTGTGTTTCCCCGAAAATAATACTGCGTCTTATTTTCTGAATATGACTGAATTTGAAATATTCTTGAATTGTTTTTACAGTACTTTCTTTATATTTAGGCACTTAGTTGTGCCATCAAACCCTAGAAGCAAACATGGACTTCGTCAAAACACTTTTCTTTCTCTCTCTCATCTGTGGCTCAATTGCGGAGCTAAAATTACCCGGTAAGAGATTTGTGTCTGCTTTTGGTAATTATTGCGAAATTGCTAACGTGTGATCATTTGATTACTAATCTGCATTCGTATTTGTCGCATTATTTACTCGCTTTGGCGTAGACCGGGGGTGTGCAACCTTTAATACAGGAGGGCCAGATACAAATAAGTGAGTGGAAATACGGGCCGCACCTTTATTTAACATATGCTTTCTAGTAGTTGCAGGCCCAAAAATTGTGATAATTGATTTTATAATATGTGTTGTTTGCTTCGCACAAGCTAGCTGTTAGAGCGTTGTGTTGTCATAGGTATAGATAATCATAAATTGGACTCAGGTATAGACTTTACAACACAAGGGAATTACACAAACATACCAGATTAAACTAAATTAAAAACTCAACATTCAAAATTGACACTTCTCTGCGGGACGCACAATTCTTCATGTCAGTCGCATTTGGCCCCGCAGGCCGCAGGTTGCACACACCTGCCGTAGAGGAAAATGTCTGTTCGATTCTACCTCAGTCGCGTGTAAAGTCAAATTGAGCATGGGGGGGCTTGGGATATTTTATAAAGACAATGCATCACTTGCTTGCTTGCAGAGAATTAACCAGGTTAGATTTGCCTCCGAAACATACTTACTAGATATTTCGAAGCCGGTTGTTGTTTTTCAAAGGAGTCTGTCCAATATAAGGCCACATGCATTTACTCAGAAGCAATGGATACTCATCTCTTGAACATAGATACAGGCACTCACTCAGAAACAAAGGGTACTCATTTCTGAACAAAGTTACAGGCACTCACTCAGAAGCAAAGGGTACTCATTTCTAAACAAAGTTACAGGGACTCACTCGCTCATCACTGAGCAAAGTTACAGGGACCCACTCACAAGCAAAGGATAGTCATTTCTGAGCAAGTTTGAGGGCACTCATTCAAAAGAAAAGGATACTCATCTCTGAGCAGGGTTACGGGCACTCACTCTTAATAAACGGGGTGGACGACAACAGAAATGCCAAAAAGGTATAGAAGAAGATATTCAGCAATTTGGGTGGCGCAATGTCTGTTTGCTTTTGTCCCTGACTTCTGATACTAACATCGCTGGTATACGAGAGATTTTTTAATAATATATCAAACTCAACCCGTAACCCAGCGATCCCGTCAGACTCCTGCTCTATATGTCACCATTTCCTGGTATATAATTAGAAGGGCACACTTTTGTATGACATTCGGTCCAGTATTTTATTGTTTCAATTTTGCTCGAAGTTTACTGGATTATGTTGTTTATATAAATCATTTCCCGTCGCGTTCATATATCTGAGCTCCCTTGTAAAATAACGTTTTATTTTTGACAGCTGGAACCTGCTATTCCAAAATCGTGAAGGGAAAACTGGTCCAAGTTGGAGATTGCGAGGTAAAATGAAGTTACCATTTCATTATATATTTTTATTCCCATTCCTCCAAATATGGCATTTAAACAGTTCTTATTTTTGGAAGAACCAGAATTCTTTCGGTTTTGAATTGCATATTCAATATACTCAATGCCAGATATTAGTCATAAGATTTTAACACCATTGTCGGGTGGTTCCCAATATAGTCGTGAACCCCCCAATTCATCTATTTTGGAACTCTCAATTCCTCGCTAACTATGCGTAAAAACAACTTTATTTATTCAATCTATTATGGATGCTTAACTGGTGTTAATGCGCCAGTCGACTCCCGCTTGTATACATTTATAAAGTAGTTTGTGTTGA